CATCATTCTTTTTAAACCAATCACACATCTAACCTCCGTGATCTTTGTTCCTCCTTTTACTGTTTTTGCTTGTTTTTCTGCTTTCCAGATAAGTCCAGAGATGCATTTTTATCTATTTTTTATGTTTCTCCCACCTAATCACACTTTTCAATTTAAAAACTTTGACACGAACACACCGGAGCACTTTTGCAGCAGCTCCAAAATTAGTGCACCAGAGCGGGAGCAGCAGAAGGAGAGGGAGGGAAAGACGCCCGGTGATTTTCCGACTGTGGAAGTCTGTGTTCTGGGTGTCACTTTGGTTAATAATCTTCCACCGATCCTTCAACTTGGGTGCACGTTCAGGACGCTTCAAACCATGAAAACAGCTGGCTTTGTGCAGCCCGACTGTCAGAGTCTCCTTTGCTGTCGATGATGGAAATATCAAACCAGTGGGCCGTGAGTGGACGTCTAAATCTGAATCTCTTCAGCAGAGCTTCGCCGCAGCCTTCCTCCCACTGATAATTCATGCAACATATCCTCGCATTAGGAAAACACTGGAGCGTTAATAGTCTCCACTTCTAAATTCACTTCTAGGCTTTTACATAATCATGATATAAAACGATCAGTGTCCGTATTCACAAAGAATCCAAACACTAAAATGAGCATCAAGGTGACGTCATTTTACCCCAGTAAGATAAAAGTAAAGAGAAGAACCTTTGGCCTTTAGAGAGATCCGGAAAAAATTAGTTGAATTGTGTTTTCCCTTGATTTGAGAAGGACAGGTGGCGAATCTTCCAGTTCAATATATATTTTTTACATTTAAAATAAGAAAAACGCCTCTCACTTAACTTATTAATTATCTTATTTTAGGGTGAAAATACTCACTGCATTGGCTGGACATCTAAGTTATTTGCTCAGATTAAGAGCAAATACACTTATTTTGAACTCTCTAGTTGGAGCGCAGATGTTTTTAGCCCAAAAAAAAAAAAAGACAATTAAAATCAATCCACACACTGGAAAAACGATCTAGAAATAAATAGAATTTTCTAAAATTAAGTTTATTTACCCTTAATTTGAGTAAGTAAAGGAGGTAGTTTGCCAATGGAATGAGTATTTTTACTCTTAAAATAAGATAATTAGATAAAATGCACTTGAAATAAGACAATGCAATTGTGTGTTCCTATTTTAGGAGTATATTGTCTTGTTCCATTGGCAAAATGTCACTTTTAACTCCTCAATCCAAGAACAAATGCATTTATTTTAAGAAAAAATTACTTATCTAGATTTGGATTTTTTTTACAGTGCAGGACTTTGTTTCCAAGTTTGAAGACGTTTCGCTTCCCATCCAGGAAGCTTTTTTAATTCAAAATGTGTTGAATTTTTAAAAACATGGTGGTCTTTCCTGCTGAGCACATTTACAGTCAGACACTAATCAAAGGCCCACCTATCGTTGTCCTCGGTTGCTGAAGTCTTTTGTTGGGGGTTTTGTGTTTGGCCATTTGAATCATGATGAATATGCTCATCTAACGCCTTTGGAATGAGTTGCAGGACAGACATGTAGATGCTTGGAAATCACCGGACAGTATGTATGTTGGATATTAAAGTCCCATCCATCCATTTTCTGTCACAGTATTCCCAAGCGGGGTCGCAACGGGTGCTGGTGCCTCTCCAGCTGTCTACAGGCGAGAGTCCACCCTGGACAGGTCACTAGTCCATCGCAGGGCAACACAGAGACAAACAACCATTGACACAAACACACACCTAAGGAGAATTTAGAGAAGCCAATAAACCTAACAGTCATGTTTTTGGACTGTGGGAGGAAGCCGGAGTACCCTGAGTGAACCCATGCATGCTAGGGTTGTCACGATACTAAACTTTTCAACTCGATATCGATACTAAGGAAAATATTCGATACTCGATACCATTTTCGATACAACAAGGAAAAAAACAAAGACAGAAATATTTTCATTAATAAATAAAATACAATAAACAATAAGAACACTGTTTTGAGGTTGTGCGCTGTACACAATATTAAGCAAGCTTGATAAAAAACGTATAAAATAAAATGTTTCTTCCTTGGCTATGCTTTGCACACATAACAATGACACTAGCCAAACCGGTAAAAAAAAAAAAAAAAAAAGTCTGAAACTGAAAAGTGCAGAGAATTATTCAATCACACAGTGTTCTGAAAGTGCATTTATCGATACTTTTAAAAACGAGTATTGTATCTGGATACAACGTTTCAGTTAGTGTTGCGCCGATGCCATTTTTTGGCCCCGATACCGATACCCAATACCTGGCTGTGCAGTATCGGCCGATACCATAATAATGTAAAATAATTGCCATCATGGCTTCGTCAAGCTGCTGCCTACCTTTGTGAATTAGGAAAAAAATCTAATACAAAGTGAAACCAGTAGAACTTTTTATTGCCTACCAGGAGTGGGTGACAATAGTTGAATAAACTTATGGCTCTCAAAATGGTATCGGTGCCCTATTTGTTGGTACTCGCCGATACCGATACCACCATTTTAGGGCAGTAACGGGGCCCCGTCCGATACTGGTATCGGTGCAACACTAGTTTCAGTATCGATACTTTTTTGAGTATCGATACTTTTGACAGCCCTAATGCATGCACATGAACATGCAAACTCCATGCAGAAATCAAACCCAGAACCTTCGTGCTACAAGGCAGCAGTGCTACCCACTGTGCCACTGAGCAGCCCAATTTTAAAGTCCTTTAAAAGTTCATTTGTACAAATAACAAACAAGCAAAATTGACTGCGCTTTTAAGACTAATATTTTGGAAAAATGCTTTGCTTACATTACCAGCCATAGCCAGCTGCCTCAGGAGGTGGGATAAAAAAATGTGGAAACAGCAAAGGTTTTTAAGATTGAGGAATTTGTTTGAGTTTTACTTTTGGATTACATTTTTCTCAAATTTACATTAAGAAATCATATTACTTGTTTTTAAAAAGAAGAACATCAAATCCAGAAATCCACACAGAAGTAGAGTAGAGGCTTCAGACAGTAGCAAAGTCTGAGCTTTTTGTTGCTGGGGGCAGAGTATGGAGTCACAAAAGGGTCAAAATAAGTGTGTACTTGCAAATCCTAGTTGAAACAGAAAAAATATACAATCATTTTGACCTATCTCTGACTCCGTAGAGGGGGGGATAAGGGTCAATGGGGGTCCACAGATAAAAGAATACATTCTTTTGTCATTAATTTATTATTGGAGATTTTCTTGCATTTAATTAATAGTATGTTAGCTTGGGAACGTATAGAATGCAAGCTACAGGCTTTAAGAAGGTGCTAGGGACATACTGGGCTCTCATGGTAGTGAATCTGTACAAGTAAAGCTTTCAAAATGTACACAGAGAGAAGTTTACTTTTGTGTGTTTTTAACAAAACTACAAGAGTGAGTATTTATTGCGTGTGAATGACTGAGCGATCCGAGGATCAGGGACTGGAGCAGAGATGGCAAAAGTACTCCCTTTCCGTACTTGAGTAAAAGTACAGATACTTGTGTTAAAAAATACTCTGGTAAAAGTGGAAGTACTGATTAAACTTCTTTACTCAAGTAAAAGTAACAAAGTACAGGCTTGTAAATTTACTTAAAGTATAAAAGTAAAAGTAGAAACCACTTTTTTCATGCCGTTGCCTACATTTTAAATGGATGTCTGCCAATAGCACTAGATCTCCGTTGTGTTCATTTTCAATCATCTCGTCGTCCATGCTACTATGCTAACGCCACCGCCACCAAGCTGCAATGATTTGCCGCCAATGAATACCGCCGAATCTGTCGATTCATCTTGTAGTGGTGCGTCAAATGCAACGTAGATTCCCATCCAATTAGATTGAATTTGGTATTGATGACGTGAAAAATAATAACGGTAACTCCATTGAAATGATTCAAAACTAAAGTAACAAGCCAATTTTTTAAAATGTAAGGAGTAGAAGTAAAAAGTCGCCATAAAAATAAGTAGTAAAGTAAAGTAAAAATATCAGAAAAATCTACTTGAGTACAGTACCGAAGTATTTGTACTTCGTTACTTCCCATCTCTGGACTGGAGTCAACTATGAAGTCTTCTGAGAAGCAAAGTATTTTTCGAGTCAAATCAAACACAAGAGGATGAAGTTGAGTCATGAATCTGTTTGGCAATAATCCCAAAACTCAGCAGAACCTTCCAAAAAAAATAAATCTTTGTGGCAACGGTGCAGTCAAAGTCTGGAACTCAACCTCACTTGAACCGCTTTTTGATCTCAGGAAAACTGTGTAGAAACAAACTTTAATGAAATAAAGCGAAGCTGGAGAGTAAATTATAAAAGAATCCCACCTAGAGTAATGATTGTAGACCGATAAAGTCAGACAGAAAACGACTACGGAGAGTTATGGCTGGTCGAGCCGGTTCTGCAGGCTAATTAATCATTTATAGCTTCGGATTATTTTGTTTACGTACAAAACTCTACACTTATTTTTACCACCCCAGTGCTGCATGAAACCGAAACATCAACCTCAGCTTTCTGACCCGACCTGAAAATGAACTTTCTTAATCAAGGCCTTTATTTTTACGTACAGCTTTCCAGAAGAGGCATCAAGTCAATGAATGTATGACCCTGTAGTTTCCTTAGTGAATAATAGACTGATTGTTGGGGGTGTGCACAGCAGAGACAGCATTTTCTCTTGGAAATGACCCCTATTCTGAGCACAAGCAGTTTGGCCTCGATACCATCAAGCGAGCGCATTATCAGCCCCTTTCAGCCGTTTCTGCTCTATCAAGCACCTATCAGTGCTCCGGCCTGTGCGTGCTCATCCTCTGCATTTGTTTTAATCACCGCTGCAAACTGAGCAAAGTGAAACGGGTTGAGAGGCACAGTCGACATACGTGTCTAAACATTTCCATGTCGTTCGTTAGAATGAAAACAGATCCGTATCTGTTTGGGTTTTTGGATTTATTAACCACCAGATTGGAGGGAAATTGAAACAAAGTTTTTTTTTTCCCTTACTCTGAGGAGCAGTCTGATGCTCGGGTGACTGGATGGAGGAATGTCGTATTTGTTGTCTTTTTTTTTACCTTCTCCAGACAACCAAAGCATGTTTTCAATAGATGCAGAGCGGAGATAGAAATCTGAAAGTCCCCGGGGCTCATCCAAGTCTGACGAAGCACCAAGGACAGACAGCCATGAGCCCACACAGGGTTTACGCCGCCCCTCTCATGGAGTCTGCAATAAATAAATGAGCAGATGAGTTTGGTTCTGACAAGTGAGGGACGTGGCGCTCCCCGTGCATTTTTGATAGTGATCTAATTCATCTGGCAGGCATGGATGTTGATTAAATCAGAATGTCAGCCACTTGACAAGACAAGACACAAGCCGGCGTAGAAACCTGTTTGAACAGCGTGAGCTGTGCAAGATGGCCGGGGAAGATTTGGCCGCCGAACTCCGCTCGCAAACCCTGTTATCATCACATCCCATGACACGTCCGGAGAGACAGGCAGATGCACGGGGACAGAGGGGAGATGTAGACGAGTCCCACCTCCTCTGCTCTATCAGGGTGACATCAGTCCTTGGGTAAACATGACCGTACTCCTGATGCCTTCATCAAATCTCACTGACAATCACAGAGCTGGAGGGAAGACATACGTACGTGTTGAAATCATTGTCCATGTAATTAGGCGGAACAAAAGCCTCTCTGAGCAGACTCACTGTACGAGAAGCCTTCAACGGCAAACCAGAGCGAAGAATGCCGAGGGCCGGTCCGCCTGTGGCAGCGTACAATAGCCGTGATATAAAGGGGCAGCAGCGGAGACAGAAACGGAAGAGAAAGGTTGTTATTTAACTGATGAGTGCCTCTGCAGAATCAACGTTTCTGTGGGAAAGTATTGCTTTTTCCCCTCCAAATTCAACACCAGATCGGAAGGATCTGCCAAAGTGTGACAACAGGCGTCATGTAAACACACTTGAGAAATGATTGGGAGTCAGTGTGAGCACGGGGCATGAGGGAGGTAGTTTCCTCAGATCAAACCACTGCTTTCCATCCAGACACTGTTCTGTTTTGTTTTTAATTTTATTAACCATACGGAGCCCCTCTGATGACATGGACAAAAAAAAATGTTTATTGTGGCCACGCAATAAGTATAACGTGCGCACGAAATACTACTTCGTGGCCACGCAATAAGTATAACGTGCGCGCGAAATACTACTTCGTGGCCACGCAATAAGTTTAACGTGCGCACGAAATACTACTTCGTGGCCATGCAATAAGTTTAACGTGCGCACGAAATACTATTTCGTGGCCATGCAATAAGTTTAACGTGCGCACGAAATACTATTTCGTGGCCACGCAATAAGTTTAACGTGCGCACGAAATACTATTTCCTGGCCACGCAATAAGTTTAACGTGCGCACGAAATGCTATTTCCTGGCCACGCAATAAGTTTAACGTGCGCACGAAATACTATTTCGTGGCCACGCAATAAGTTTAACGTGCGTGCCAAATACTACTTCGTGGCCACGCAACAAGTTTAACGTGCGCACGAAATACTATTTCCTGGCCACGCAATAAGTTTAACGTGCGCACGAAATACTATTTCCTGGCCACGCAATAAGTTTAACGTGCGCACGAAATACTATTTCGTGGCCACACAATAAGTTGAACGTGCGCACGAAATACTATTTCCTGGCCACGCAATAAGTTTAACGTGCGCACGAAATACTATTTCCTGGCCACGCAATAAGTTTAACGTGCGTGCGAAATACTACTTCGTGGCCACGCAATAAGTTTAACGTGCACGCGAAATACTACTTCGTGGCCACGCAATAAGTTTAACGTGCGCACAAAATACTTATTAATAATACTAATATCATTCCTGGACAACTGGGTAAGCAAATCGAGCGCGCCTTCTCTAAGGTCTAAGGCCCGCTCGATTTGATTACCAAGTCGGTCTCCGCCAGTCACGTGACATTTGTTGCTAAGACGCTATTTTAGGTGGAAAAGGCATAGTGTAAACAACCACAGCATAGCTAAACGAAGGACTAAAGGCCCGTTTACATAGCAGCCTGTCCAAGATAAGTCATTACAGTTAACATAAGCCTGAAAACAGGGGCGGATTTATTGATATTATTAATAAGTATTTCGTGCGCACGTTAAACTTATTGCGTGGCCACGAAGTAGTATTTCATGCGCACATAATACTTATCGCGTGGCCGCGAAGTAGTATTTCGTGCGCACGTTATACTTATTGCATGGCCGCGAAATACTACTTCGTGCGCATGAAATACTACTTTGTGGCCACAATTAAACATTTTTTTTTGTCCATGTCATCAGAGGGGCTCCGTATAACCAAATAACATGTTTTAGAAATAATACCAAACCTTAATATTTTATCCCACTATACTAAAGAATAACGCAGTCCTGCGAGGTTTTGGGCTAAATTCTAGCTTCCTCTTTTCACATGTCAATGTTGCCCGATATCTGTCAGGTTTTGGGGAGATTTTAGGGGACCCAAATGCAGAGATGGAAGCTGAGGTGGTTTTCTTCTAGATTTAACATGATCTAAATGAAACAGAAGCTAAGTCCTAAACAAAAACAGAAAAAAAACAGGAGATGTCATAGAAAACACACATGAGGAGCTAAGAAACAATAAGGAACAAGAAAGAGAAACTGAACGGGAGGTGTATATATGGGAGACAAAAACAATGGGAGGACTAATTAGCAGATGAGGAGCAGGTGTGGACAGAAGAATCTAGCAATGAGCTAGGAGAGAGAGGGAGACTGACACAAGAGGGCAACAGGGTGTAAACAAGAAATACAACCAAAAAAACATGGAAATAAAAATCAATGAAAAGTCAAAAAGAAACTTAATCAGAACCAAAACAATGACAATCTCTGTATTCTATAGGGTGAATTTTGCACCATTATTGTTGCAAATACATTTTACAAACCAATATTAAAAAAAAAATAAAAAAAAAAGAATTTATAAATAAAACTTTAAACATAATCATACAAAAAGAGTTTTCAACAATAACTTTGCTGTTTTGTGGGATTTACTTTATCGGAAAACACCTCCTGCTGATTGATTTAGCATCTTTTAACGTTGGACAAAACTGATAGTTTTTCCCTCTCTGTCTGTGATTATTTTTTTGCATGTTTTATATACTGCATATACACAAAAATAGGTGCCTGTTGGGGCTTTTGTGTGTGTAAATACAGAGACATGTTTATTAATATGTGATGAAACAAATGAATGGTGACTACTTTTAAAGTTTAACAATATCTTGTTTAAAATATCAACATAGATTTATTTTCCAAGGATGCATTTGTTACTTCAAGGCTGGACTATTGTAATTCTTTACTATCAGGAAGTCCACAAACTGTAGTTAAAAGCCTTCAGCTGATCCAAAATGCTGCAGCAAGAGTTCTGATGAAAATGAAAAAGAGAGATCATATCTCTCCTATCCTGGCTTCTCTTCATTGGCTTCCTGTTAAATCCAGAACAGAATTTAAAATTAACATAAAAAAAAGATTTTTGGAGGATTTGACAAAATTTTTTTAGGACTGCATCAAACCATGAGTTGTTTCAACAAGAAAGTCCTGGAGGAGGATTTTTCGGAATAAACTTTTTTTGTTCAGGTTCGGCACAGACGGTGCCTTGCAAAAGTATTCTGCCCCCTTGAACTTTTCGACCTTTTGCCAGATTTTGCCACAATTTTAAGTTTTGTGAACAATCAACAATTGAGACACAATCATGAAGTGGAACAAAATGTATTTATTTTTTTAAGTTTTAATAAAAAAAATAAAAAAAACAGAAACGATGAATGTGCAAAATTAATCATTTACAAACAGATAGATGTGGACAGACTGAATTGTTGCAGGGCAGAAAATGATCAGGAGCTCTTCTAATAACAGCTCCTAGGAACCAAACAAGGGTTTTAGATTCGCAAAATCAAAGACTAGACTAAATCTGATTAGGATTATTTTTAATAACTTTAAAGGCACACTATGCAACATTTTTCAGTTAATTAATGTGTTCCATAACGTTTTGGATGTTTAAATGAGTCATTTCAGGTTGAACAAAGGTTTTCTCGGCCGCCCTGGTGGTCTGTGGGGGAAATACCGCACTTGCAATTGCAGGAGCCCTCGGCCCGCACCCACAGGCTCAGAAGTCTCGCGAGAGTCAGTCTTGCTTTACGGCGAGAACTGCTACACCCCCCAGTTAAAAGCATGCTCGTTGCTAGCACAGTGGAGATCTTTGCGCAGTGCTGCTTTCACACCGGACGCAGCAAAAGCAGCAAAATCGCGTCTGCTGCTTCATTTTTGCTGCTTGTACCAGTTAGTTCTGACACGTGGCTGAAGCAGCTTTGCTGCTCTGGCTGCGCGGTGCAAAAGTGTGTCTGACGCGCGTTGGGCGGAGCTTCACTATCCTTTCTCTGCCTTGCAGCTACATTTGCTGTGATCAGTGGGAATAAAGTAGTTTTAATATGTTTTTAAGTGAGAAAATCCACCTGAAAACGTAATCAGTGCCGTCAGTTCATCCAGATTATCATCCTGCCTTACAATATTTTTTCTGTCGGAGCCGCTCAGACCCCCACATACCAGCGGTGCGCCGACAGTAGGAATCCCTTCATCAGCAGCCTCTGGCCGGGTCGCCTCCTCGCGGTTCACCGCGGCAGCTGGTAGGTGTTTTTCATCTAAATAATCCAAACTGCAGGCAGCAGGATAATAAAAACCAACATATTCTGCCAGCAGATTTCAGCATTTTAAGTTAATTTAGGCGTCAATAAACTGTTTCAGAGGAGTGATCATAGCGCTCTGATCATCAGCACTGTGTCTCTCTCCCTTCCAGCTCCCAGATCAGCTTCTCTGATTGGTTGACGCGGCGCGTCGAGCAGCAAAAATTCAATTTTTCCATCTCGAGCAGCAGCGCGTTTGCGGCGCGTCAGATGCTTAGTCATTCGTTGCGTTCGCCTGTCTGCTAAGCTCAAAACAACCGCGCCTGGCTTGACGGAGAAACCAGGAGAACAGCTGTGCATATTTACGACAGTGCACTTTTACTTTCGCCCTCTGGGGGGAGCCTCGCTGGAAAATCAACACCGGTTGCATAGTATACCTTTAAACTGACCGTAACTGAATAAAACTATTCATCAACAAGGAGTGGTTCACAAAGTATTCACAGCTATTAAAAAAATAAAAAACAATAGTTAAAAACAAAACAATAAAAGCAAAAAACATAATAAATCTTTAAGGGACAAAGTTCTATTTACCTTGATGCCAAATGTATGAATTATCTTAAAATGAAACCCAGAAAAGTCGCCCCCGCGGCGGTTCCTCCTCTGCCTTCCCTTCACCTTCCTGCAGCCCCAAGGAGGTCAAAGTTGCATGTACAAAGTCAGTCTACTAATCTCCTTTGTCACTCATAAAATTTACACAACATTTCCCTCATGGAGGCCTGTCAGTTTGCTGCTGCCTGTGGCTGTCAGAGAACACAGATAATTACTTGCAGGGATCAGCGAAGGACTTGATTATTTATGGAGCTGGATGTCTGAAGACGGAAAAAGAGATTTATGCCTTATTAAATGGTTTTTAGTTAGCAATAATACAAGATTATTATTGTTTAAAACTTTTTTTTAATATTGTAGCTGTGGGACAATTTGAAAGTAATGAAATAAGTCTTGGAAGTAGAAAAAACAAAACAAAAAAGTCCCTTTTTTCCCCGTTAAATGTATGAGAAGAAACTTCCTTTCTCAGAAGTGCAAATGAAC